TTGCTTTTATGCTTTTCCCTGCTTCTTTGCTTTTCTGCTTCTTTGCTTCTCTGATTTTCTGCTTCTTTGCTTGTCTGCTTCTCCAAGATTTCTGCTTTTCTGCTTCTCTAGTTTTCTGCTTCTTTGCTGTTCTGTTTCTCTGCTTTTCTGCTTCTCTGCTTTCCGTGCTTTGTTGCTTCTCAAGCCTAAACTAAACAATCCCTAAGATACACTATAAAAATAAATCAACCCTAACCAATCCTGAATAAACAGCAAACCAACCCCAAAAAAGCCCAAAACAACCCGAAGTAAACCCTAAACAAATCTGAAAACTTACCCCACATATATCCTAAACCAACCCTAAATAGATCTCGAGCCAAGCCTAAATAAACCCTGAACCAAGCCTAAACAAAACTTAAATAGATCCTAAACAAACCCTAAATAGACCTTGAACATCCTTGAGCCGGGCCGAAGCAAACCCTAAACCAACCCTAATCCAACTCTAAATGAATCCTGGTTGCAAAATAACATGCGACATGAACAATTCGAGCACCAAAATGTTGCAAATACCGCGGAAAATGAGAGGTTCAAACTCCAAAATGTTGCAAACAGCAGTTGAAATGGCAGCTTCCAGCGCCAACATGCTGCAAATAGCAAGGGAAACGGACAGGACAGGAGATCCAAAAAAAAACCCAACACGGAAACAAAACAATTCCCAAAATAATTCCGGACCCATATCATCCAAGAGAAAGGATTACATGAATGAAAATGGTGTTGGGGGACATTTTATTGTTTGGGAACTATTCGAACCACACGTTGCAAGGAGAATGGCACCTACTCTGGCGAGTTCTTCACATTTGCGTTTCTCGGCAGCCGCGCAGAGCCTCGCAGAGCCCTGTTTGTGAAGTTGGTTTGTCCAGAAATGGGAGATTTGCCTTCACTTTGTAGCAAGCTTTAGTGAGAAAATGATGATATAATATATATATAATATTATAATATATATAGATAATTTTCTGATATGATCCATTTCTGGATAAACCCGACTAGTGTAATTGTATTGTATATTAGTGTGATCTTTTGATTCTCTCCATGCTCAGTCACTCAGTCTGGCTGGTTTCATTCGGCAGCGTGGTGAGAGCGATGCTTGCCGGACACTTGGACACCAGCCAGTCATGACAGTCAGATTTCACACCAGAAAAGGCCGAAGCGATCACTGCATGAAAGTCAGGCTTGAACCGCTTGCTCTATGCAGGGAACTTAGAACATCTTAGAACTCTCAACCCTCAGGATTGTTCAATTTTATGCTGTAAGCTTGTCCTTAAACCAGCAACATGCTATGGCATCGTTCGGGTATCCGGGGAATCCGTGGTTTCTCGTTGCCCAGGAAAAGGGTCTGTTGACCTTCTCCAAGTGAGTGCGTTCTCGACGGCGACCAAAGTTGGTTCTGCTTCGGAAAATGCGCAACCAGTTCGTGGTATGGGTTGAATCTCCACAAAAAACCGGAGCAAAACTTTGCAGTATGCACCCATATTGAATTGCACTTGTATGTGTATGTGTATATAATTACATAGGGGCTGCATAACTGTACGTATAGATATTAATATGCATATATCAACAAACAAAGACATGTATTCAGATAGATAGGTAGTATCATAGATAGATTAGAACAGAACAGAACAGAATGGCATAGAATAAAATGTTAGATAGATAGATAGATAGATAGATAGATTAGATTAGATTAGATTCGATTAGATTAGATTAGATTAGATTAGATTAGGATAGATAGATAGATAGATAGATTAGATTAGATTAGATTAGATTCGATTAGATTAGGATAGATAGATAGATAGCTAGCTAGGTAGGTAAGTGGAAAAATAGATAGATAGATAAATATATAGATAGATAGATAGCTAGCTAGGTAGGTAAGTGGAAAAATAGATAGATAGATAGATAGATAGATAGATAGATAGATAGATAGATAGATAGATAGAGATAGATAGATAGACAGATAGATATGGAGTTAGGTAGGATAGATAGACCAACATATATCATATTTACATACACATTTCGATTGACCTACTGCAAAGCCAGAGCGGGCTATTTGCTCCACGCAGGTGCCGGTTATGCCTCGTCTTGCCAAGCGAAGGAAGCTGGTTGGTAGCTGAGTCGCGGAGATTTGTGACCAAAGTCCGCTTTCAATATGTTTACCCACGCGCACATAAATAAAACAAACAATATATATATATACACATGTTACATACAAACTTATGATGGATGTGTAACGTATATATGTAAATATAAACATATATATATATACATTATCAAAGGAAGTTTAGTTCGAAAACTTCCGAGTTACGGACGTATGTCCAGGGTCAGTCTTGTCATCATGCCATCACCATGTCAACAAGGTAGTGAGCGAAGGCGGTTCGCGTGTGGGAGCAGTAGAGAAGAGTAACAGTTCGGGAACGCGTGAATTCAAAGGTGAAATCACTCTCGGGCGCGAAACCCTGTGTTTTTTCGG